GCTCCGGAGCACTATTCGAGGCTTAGTGTATCCCATCATGCATCATGTTATGGAAATAAATCGCGAGACTTTTTGCCGAGATCTCGCGAGAGGTCACGAAAACCTTTCCAATGTATGTTAAATATGAATATAATAATTAGATATTACATATAATTTGGTAGTAAAACAAAATGCTACACGTTTTATTGGTGCAAAGGTGAGTATATTTATTTTGTACATAATTTGCAACTGCTTTTTATCACTTAATTAGAAGCACCAGAATTTAAATTGTGTCATCTCTGTTATAGGGACTACTGAACAGACATTTAGAAGTTTATTTTAAAATGCAAAGTATTGAAAATAAAAATTAAAACTCTGTAAACACTTGCGTTTTTACAATACTATAAGTATGTCCCATCAGGTAATGAAAAGTTGTACACACACTTGTGGTCTTCATTCTCACTTGAACACTTACAGATACAGGGCCAGATACAGGAAATACGTCAAATAAGTAGTCAAGTTATCAAGTGCAAAGACAAACCATTAGTGTGGGTATTTGGACAAGGCATTAGTCTATATGTAGCCACGATTTAGCTCTAAATTGGACGGGCTACGTGTAGTCTAAATATGATGTCATGCATCCCACAAGCTGTTAAATGTTACATTAATACACATTATATGATGATAGTCGGCTGTCTTTCATTTTATATATAAAAATGCAATTACAATTCCCAACCGCTAGATGGCAATTGTAGCCCGACTGAGACATGACTACTCGCAACGCAAGACATGAGAGTTAGTAGAGATCAGTGTTGTGTTTTGAATTTTGTTTTTACACGAGAGAGCACTAAGTTTACCTGTCGGAGAGCAACGGGAAAATAGTGCAAATAGCTCAGATGTGCAATGCAGCATTAAAACCTAAACAGTACAAACAGAAAACATAATGTAATAAAACGGTACGGGTGAATTTATTATTCCATGTACATTTGAGGTTAATGTGTGTACTGGGCTAATTTTTTGTTACAGCAGCTATCACTGTGTTGTTATGAAGTCAGTTTGTGGGGGGCACTAATAGGGAAAAACTTAAACTGCTGGAATAAAGAGTTTTAAAGGGTTAGTGATGGAAAACTTGCAGGTCAACATCAATGTTTAAGGTTGGTAAACAAATATAGTGGGGGGCACTAATAGGGAAAAACTTAAACTGCTGGAATAAAGAGTTTTAAAGGGTTAGTGATGGAAAACTTGCAGGTCAATGGGCATCAGTGTTTAAGGTTGGTAAACACTTGTACACAGACGCATATAATACTACCCGCCTGACATTGGCATGTGTTATTCAGGTGTCAAAGTTGTGCAGAATTGAAGGAAGAAACCTCAAAGACAGTGCCAGAAGGATGCTGGGCAGGTAAAGCCTACAAATCTTGCCACATTAATCAAACATCGTGGTGTCAATACTCAATAAGTTACAAGGCAAATCAGAAATTTAAAAAATAATTCCTTTACTGGTCATTTTGAAATGTCAAACTTGGTCTTTGTCTGCAATTGTTAACCACCTCAATCTGTATTATATTTTAGGGTTTTAAAAAAATTCCCTCATGTCCAAATTCTACATGAAGGGGGGTGGTCCGCTGCAGAAAGAGGCATCTGAAAAGACTGCAAAGAAAAGACAGTGTTGTAAATACAACTTAACCACTGATTTCTAGTTGTGTCCTCTTTTGGAAGTAGTTTCGCTTTCACAACGAAACACACAGCGACTGCACAACATGGCAGCGGCAGCAACAGCAAGAATTAAAAGTTACGCCTTCTTTTTTTGCGTGAACATTTGGCCGGCGTTATGCAAATCTTCCCACATCGTGACATAGACATGTGGGGGCGTGTTAGAATGAGCCGTTTTAGGTAGGAGTGGTTGACTCTTAACTTTTATAAAGAATATCTCTTTGGATTTGCGACTTTAGTCTTTGCAACTTTACAGATCTTCTTTATGCACCAAGAGCTTGTAACACTCCAAAGAGAAAGGAAAAATTGAAATCGCATCATATGACCCCTTTAAAAAAACCTTTTGAATGGTACTATATAAATAAAATGTATAATTACTGAAAATTACATTAAATAACTGCAGACTCATACAGTACCTGTATTTCCTGGGCAGATTACTTTGACATGGTATCTTCAGGGCAGCGGCATCATGAGCAAGTGAGTAGAGTCTACACACTGGTGCATGTGCACCACAAAAAAATCTTGTCTGTTTTTCTGTGACCCATTTTTGTGAGCCCTTTAAGGGGGTATCTGCACTCTGTTAGTGCTGTCTGATGGTTCTGGTTATTGACTTGACATCTTTATTGATGTGTTGATCCCCCCAGAGGCTGAATTCTGCACAGGATCCAGGCAGACACTTGCTGTTAGACTCAGAGAGCGCCTTTATTGGTAAGTTCCCATAAAATGAAGAACGGAGGGTTGTGTTTTCCTCAATGTTGTCAGGCTTGAGGTCAGTGTCATCATTCTATCATTATTTTCGTAACTTGTTACGAAATAAAAAAGTCTCTCACCTCAGAAAAGCGAACTATCCTGTCCTGTCAGACGTTATACTGTGCTTGTAGCACGCACTCTTCAATTGCATGCGCAAATGCGGCGGCGCTCGCTGTATATCACTTCACTAAAGCGCAAAAGAAACTACGAGCATGCAGCGTGTGAAATAAAAGTAAAACACCAATAAATCACATAACTGGTACTTTGTGTGTCAGCTGGGAAGGATTTGCATGAAGGTATGATATTCATTCTAGTCAGGAGCAGTTTGCATGTTTCATTAACAGTTCATGTTATTATTATTCACCATGGTAACTGTTTCCATAACCCAAAAATGCCATGTTATTTTCACTTTGTGTTATTTTGTACATCTCCTAACAAAGTGTGGCTCATACCAACTTAATTGTATTAACAAAAACTAGTTTGGGACTGCTATTTAATAGCCTTACCTTATAGGCTAAGTAAAGGTTGATGGTACTTGTGTGTGTGTGTGTGTGTGTGTGTGAACAATATATATATATATATATATGCAAATGCTTTTAGGTTATGTGTGACTGCAGAACATCCTCAGTTTTTCATAGTGAAAGTATTTCATCTTGTTTTTGGTGACTGAGGTGTGGTGGTCGCGGCTTGATGACCATGGGAAAATGTGGGTCCCATGGCCAAACCAGTTGAGAACCACTGGTCTAGAGTGTCAGTACGGTGCGCACATATTTACACCAAGTTTATTTTTTATAAATCCCGATATGTGCTTGGAAATTTTTTTTTCCAACGTTTATACATCAGGCCCCTGGGGTCTCATTTATAAAACTCTCAGTAGATTTCATCCTAAAAGTGTACATACGCACAAAAGCTAGATTTTGTGCGGAAAAAGCAGAACCTGCGCAAAAATCCCTTTATAAATCCCAGTCAGGGTAAGATTGTGAGTACCTGCATCTCCACCGAAATCACCATATATGGAGCTTACAACGCGCCTAGTTTTACTATGCATAACCTCATCTGCATATAATTTCCATGCACATTCCATCCACGTTACACCATGTTTAACACCGTCAAAGGTACAAGACATTAAGGGAATATGAGATACGGACTATAAATGCCATTTGTGCCATACACAATATGTATTGCTAAAAATCATCCAGTATCCTTGTTATGTTTTAGAATAAATATATCAAAATATCCATAAAAACAAAACGGTTTAAAATAGTTCTCAGATAGGCTAAATATTTTAGAATAGAGTTGAGCTCATTCTTTCCACTGGCCAAATAGGCAGTATTTAAATTGTTTTAAACAATCTTAATCAAATTAAATTTATGCAGTTTTGCTTATAAGGTGAACATCTTTTAGCTATTTTAGTGGAAACAGTTATTTATTGCAGTGTAAATACAATTGTCGGACTCGCGCGTCATTGACAAAGTATTTTAAAAAGGAAATGTGCAAATCTTACCGTTTTCTTCGAGTTGTATCCTTCAAATACAGTGGTATTTTTCATAATGTTGTGGAGATGCCTTCACAAGACAACACGTGCAGCTGCGGTTGTACAGTATTATTACCTATTCAAACCGGACAATGGACCGTCCGACCACCAAATCCAGCAATGTTTGCCATAATATCGAAGTAAGTGTGCATCATTGATCATTGTTCTCACTAAAAATATTTTCTCATAATATTTGATCTGCAGTTTGATTTAAAGATGAATTATTGTGCGCATAGCACTCCTCGCTGGCAAAACAGCATGTCACAGGAAAAGTGATCAATAGGCTACGTCTATAATTTTGGCTTAACTTCTGTGTAATGTCTTTATGTAATTTTAGTTATGTAATTTCTCCATTAATGAGAGTGGAATATTTAATGTAAATGTGTATATCGACATGAAAACTGAGTTTGAAATCATTGTTTACTTCATTACTTTTCTCTCTCAAGGGAAAAAAAAAAGTCCGTACGCATGGGTCAGAGTTTGCGTGCAGGTGCGCAAATTTTCCCGTCAAGTTTGTTTTTATAAATCCCACCTTTTGCGTAGGAAGTGGCGTACGCCTCTTTCAGGGCAGGTTTTGTGCGAACGCGACGGTTATAAATGAGGCCCCTGGGCTTTTAAAATGGCTTGGAGGATCGTGAGGATCGTCCAGCAAACGCTGCTTTGCTTTCTGCGGAGATTGTGGCTATCGAAGCGGCTTAAAGACAAGAAAGACAAGAGAAGAAAGCTTACGCAGAACATGCTGAAGACAAGACACTCAAAAATAATCCGAAAAAAACTCACCACAGGAAAACACTGCGTTTTCTAAAATAATGACATTATCCCCCACGATGTAGCCACACTCCAGATAAAGGCGAACTTTTATTTCCACGTTGCGATCACTGTATATCCGATGGCACGCAACACTGTTATAACGGTGATGGTTAGAGAAGCTCTACAACCTACCGCAAGGAGATTAGCTAAAATAGTCAATATGGCCGGCGTTAGAAGGCAGCACGAGGCGTGGTTCGCTGATAGAGGAGAAGGGGAGACGTGCGCCTCTCCATGTTAGGTTGGTGTTAGTTTGAATTTAGAGGGGTCACACAAGCAGAAACAATATTTACAACACACGAAATTAACGCTCTGTGATTATTCTATGTATATATATTAACGCTCTGTGATTATTCTATGTATATATATTAACGCTCTGTGATTATTCTATGTATATATATTAACGCTCTGTGATTATTCTATGTATATATATATA